AGAAGCTCAAAAAATATATATTCCGCAGGTTAGGAAAGGCACAAACAGGTATAGGAAAAAGCCTGCATGGTTAACAAACAGAGTAATGGAGGCTGTAAAAAGTAAAAAGAATTCCTTTAAGCAGTGGAAAGCTAGTCACAGTGAGGCTGATAAAACGGAACACAGGCTATGGCAAATAAAATGCAAGTCTGAGGTCAGGCAGGCAAAAAGGGAATATGAGGAGCATATAGCAAAAAACGTAAAAACCAACAATAAAACTTTCTTCAAATACATTAGAAACAGGAAACCAGCCAGGGAGGCAGTGGGGCCCTTGGACGACCAAGGGGTAAAAGGAGTATTGAAGGATGATAGGGAAATGGCTGAGAAGCTAAATGCATTTTTTGCCTCCGTCTTCACTGTGGAAGATGAGAAGTGCTTGCCCACTCCAGAACCACTGATTTCAGGAGGGGTGTTGAAAGACCTGAGTCAGATTGAGGTGACGAGAGAGGAGGTCCTAAAACTGATAGACAACTTAAAAACTGAAAAATCACCAGGCCCAGATGGCATACATCCGAGAGTTCTGAAAGAACTCAAATGTGAACTTGTAGATCTCCTGACAAAGATATGTAATCTTTCCTTAAAATCTGCCTCCATTCCTGAGGATTGGAAGGTAGCTAATGTCACTCCCATCTTTAAAAAGGGTTCCAGAGGAGATCCGGGAAATTACAGGCCAGTCAGTCTGACGTCGATACCGGGTAAATTGGTGGAAACCATTATTAAGGAAAGAATTAGTAGGCACATAGATGAACAAAACCTATTGAGGCAGACTCAGCACGGTTTCTGTAAGGGAAGATCTTGTCTCACTAACCTGTTAGTGTTCTTTGAGGGGGTGAACAAACATGTGGACAAGGGGGATCCAATAGATATTATTTACCTTGACTTCCAGAAAGCTTTTGATAAAGTTCCTCATCAAAGGCTCCTAAGTAAGCTCAAAAATCATGGGATAGAAGGACAAGTCCTTTTATGGATCAAAAACTGGCTAGTTCATAGAAAACAGAGAGTGAGTGTAGGTGGGCAATTTTCTCAGTGGAGGGTGGTAAGCAGTGGGGTACCGCAGGGATCAGTACTTGGTCCACTGCTTTTTAACTTGTTCATTAATGATTTGGAGATGGGAGTAAGCAGTGAAGTGGCTAAATTTGCGGATGATACAAAGTTGTTCAGGGTGGTGAAAACCAGTGAGGATTGTGAGGCACTCCAAGGGGATCTGTCAAGGATGGGCGAGTGGGCGTCAACATGGCAAATGGGGTTCAATGTGGCCAAGTGCAAGGTGATGCACATTGGAGCCAAAAATCCTAAATATAAATACACATTGATGGGGTCTGAACTGGCAGAGACTGAGCAAGAGAGAGATCTTGGAGTTGTAGTGGATAACTCACTGAAAATGTCGAGACAGTGTGTGACTGCAATAAAGAAGGCCAATGCTATGCTGGGGATTATTAGGAAGGGTATTGAAAACAGATCAGCCAATATAATAATGCCCCTATATAAATCAATGGTGAGACCTCATTTGGAATACTGTGTGCAGTTCTGGGCACCACACCTTAAAAAGGATATTATAGCTTTGGAAAAAGTGCAGAAAAGGGCAACTCGAATGATAAAAGGGTTGGAACACTTTCCCTATGAGGAAAGGTTAAAGCGCTTAGGGCTCTTTAGCTTGGAGAAAAGACGACTGAGGGGTGACATGATCGAGGTTTATAAGATTATGCATGGGAAAGAGCAGGTAAAGAAAGAGGTACTTTTCTCCCTTTCTCACAATACAAGAACTCGTGGGCACTCCATGAAACTGCAGAGCGGTCGGGTTAGAACGGATAAAAGGAAGTACTTCTTCACCCAAAGAGTGATTAACACATGGAATTCACTGCCACAGGAAGTGGTGGGTGCTACAAGCATGGACGGCTTCAAAAGGGAATTAGATAAGCATATGGAGCAGAGGTCCATCAGTGGCTATTAGCCACAAGGTATAGCTAGGGGCTCTGGGGCAAGTGATGCTCTGTCTTCTTGGTGCTTGGGGGGGGTCAACAGTGGGAGGGCTTCTAATGTCCTGGCCCCACTGCTGGACCTCCTGATGGCACTGGTATTTCTTGCCACTGTGTGACACAGAGTGTTGGACTGGATGGGCCTTTGGCCTGATCCAACATTGGCGTCTCTTATGTTCTTATGTTCTTATGTAAATTGGGAATCACTACAATTTGCCCTAGTTGTGCTCAAATCTTTCAAATTTCTCCTCTATGTCTACTGACAAAGATGGTTCAGAGCCACCTGTATAGTGAAGAATGGTCTGATGTACTGATATAAGTCAAAAGGAGAAAAATGTAATAAACTGCTATTGCAAAGAGGTCTCTTTACTGTTGGATCTGTAAAATAGTGAAGGAAAATCACCAACCTGGAGGATGACACGAGAAAAGCTTTACTGTATCAAACCTACTTGCAAGAAGCTGGTAGAGTGAGACACAACCAAACACAAACCCCCCAGATTAAATCCCTGAGGGCAACACCATGGACAAGGCTTTGGCCTCTACGCCCTTTTTGTTGAACCTCCAGGCAACTGGTTGGTCACTGCATAAAATAAGACTAGATGGATCTCTTGATGGACCCCTTGAATGGTTCTTTTTATGTGCCGGTCTATATTAGAGCTGACGAAATAGACCAGCCATCCCAGTGTTGTTGGTGCCAATGACAATTTCAGAAGTAGATACGACTGGACCATCTCTTTGAACAGCTTCAACTTAACTTTTGTTAGCAATAAACCAAGTGGTTTTTTAATCTGTCTTCGGTATCAGCACATTCTCCTTCCACTTGCGATCCCAAAAAGCTGAGCTGTTCATGGGGGGCTTATAGCGTGTCTTCATCCTGAAGCAAAAAAGGAAGTGTCCTTGGCTCCCTGATAAGCTCAGGGGCATGGCCGTAAGGAGAGTAGAGATGTAGTTTATCTTTATGGACTTACTCATCCTGCAGTCTATCTCAGTGCAAACATGTTTGATACCTGTTCCATCTTCATTATCTACCTCCTTTTACAACAGGTGCTGGCTTCCAAACTAGAGCACTTTTGCTTTTTGGAACAACTATTCGATATCATGCTCAAATTGTGATCCAACCATTCATTCAAAGCCCTTAGTCGGCTCTTTCCCAAACCTGCTTTTTCCAGTCTTTTTGAGAAGAGTGCAGTCCAACAATGTTACCATACTGTCTGCATATGAAAGTGTGCATTTTCAAAGATGATGTCCACATCTGTTCCACCTTCCTTCCATCAGACCTCCTCCCCTTGGTTGCTTATATTTTCTCTGCTGTGTCATCAGATAGGGTTTTGATGACATTAAAAAAAATCAATACTCGCTAAAGCACTGGGGGGGGGGATTCCAGTAACTAGTTGCAATCTAATTTGGATATCAAACCTTCTTCATTCATACCCTGGTAGGTCTTTCAGGGAACAATCAGTGCACCCGTCTTTATAGCACTTGAGCCATTGTATAACAAATCTGAGTGCCACCTACACCAGTTTCCAAATATCAGTGTTTCTAGCTGTGGGTCAGCAGCTGATTCAGTCAACTTCAGTTCAGCATCATCCACAAAGGGAACTCAACATTGGGCCAAGCCCTGTGTCAGGCTTAAGAAGTGACAACATGTTTGGCCTGGCAACCTTTCCTGAGCAACCGCCATTATTTTAAGCCCATTCCTGGACTTGGTCTGGGTATCATTCATGCTTCAGGGACTTCCAGCAAAATCAAAACACAGTTGGTGGCTTCAGCTGCTGATTCATCCCAGGTCCAAACTTGCTTCTAAACACTTTTTACTGACAAATATAATGTCTATGTTTTTGCACAGTGCACTGATGAGATGTCCCATGAGATTTATAAACTATTCCTACTTCAGTTCACAAAGTGCTTCTACAATCATGGTACTGTTAGCAGTCCTGTTCCTAGATCCAGAACCTTTATGACCCACTGATGAGAGGACATGGCTCAGAGCACACACTTTACACACCGAAGGCTGCCTTTTATATATATTATAAATAAATGAATACATTTAAACGAATCAATAAATGCCCCAGGTTCAATGCCTGGCAACTACAGTTCAAAGTACCCCCGGAAGTGCCAGGAAACACTTCTCTGCCTGAGACCCTGGAAAGCACCCATTAACCCGAGAAGGCAGAGTACGGAGCTAGAGGGACCACTGATCTGCCTCCTGCCTCCCCAGATTTCAAAGGGCTTTTAGTTTATTTAATCTCTGGTTTTCATGGGACCTTGGGTCACTGGATCCACCTCCCAAAAGAAGAGTCTGTTGAAAGCACAGCAGCTGTTCTAAGGCTCTGTTCTACAAGTGATGTCCCCTGGTGTTCTGTGAGGCTCTGACAGGATCCTTAAAACTAAAACGAAGTCTGCTTGGTAACTGTCATAGCCTGTCAGGAGGCAGAGAGGAGACGCACGCCCAAGCAGAAGGAAGCCTCGCCTGCCTCATTCTGCAGGCGAGAGAGGCATGTTATTTTCCACACCCAAAAGCTGTTCGAGAAATGCAGACACTTCCCCTCCCGCCCAATCCCAGAGCTGTCGTTCTCGGAGTTGGGCGGAATGGAGACGGCTGCCTTGCAGAGGTCCCGTTATCTGCCAGCAGGGTCTCGTCGCCACCGGGCGTGGGCATCATGGGACATCCACCCGGCGGCCACTTGGGACGAGGGCACGATGCTCCCCATTCACTGGAGAGTGCGCACCGGGAGGCACCGGCCGGCGTGTGCCTGAACTCCGGACGTGGCTGGCCCCCACCCAAACCCCTGACTCACAGAAATGTGGGGGGGAACGGAACGAATGAGTAAGGCAGAGGCGCTCCGGGCTTTGCAAAGCGAGAAGCTGGAGGAAGAACGCGGTTCCCATGCAGGGAAGAGGCAGGGAGGGCAAGTGATGGCTGGGCTCGGAGACCCCCGGGAAGGAAAGGACCCCCGCCGGGCGCCGTGACCTTTGAAAACTCACTTCTTTCTACTAGCGGCGGCGGCGGCGGCAATCCAAACCCTCAGCGGCGGCTCTGAAGCGGCGGCGCTCGGCTCCGAAGTCCGGCCCCTTCCCTTGACTTGTCACGGCGGCCAAGCAAGCTTGCCCGTCGCGGCCAGCCAATGGCTGGGAAGGAGGCAGGACTCGGGCCTAGCAAGTTCTTCTGAGCCTGAGGAAGCGTGCCAAAGGGGGCCGGCCGGGGTGGAGTTTCCCGGCAAGCAGGCGGGAGGGGAGGGAGAAAGCGAGGGAAACGGGGGTGTGCGAGGCTCAGCCCTGGCAGCCCCGGCGGCATGGATCGGCTTAAGAGGCGGGGAGCCTCAGCCACGCCAGCTGTCTTCTGGCCGTCGCATATGGGCGCTTTCGGATCAGAGCGGGGCTACTACGTGCCGGGCGGCACAGGCTGGGAAAGCGGCAAGCCCGATGAGCCTCTTTCGTTGCAAGCACTGGAAAGCATTCAAGCCGAGCAGAAGGAAACAGCAGGCGCCAGAACTTGGTTTATTACGCTGAAATCTGTTTTTCAGGAGCCTGGCTCAGGTTCCGGAGTTTGTCCCCCCCATTAAAAAAAAAGAAAGAAGTGTATTTGAGCCTGTGTACAGTCAGTGCTTCCACCCCCTCACAATTCATATCGCGGATCTGTAGCTGCAGACTCGAAAGGGGTCATGACAAGGGTCTCTGACGATAGTGGGACAGCACCGTATTATCAATGTGGTTAGAGTTTGGTCCACTTGTGTAGATCTGTCCGAAGCCCTTTGTTGCTGCGAATCATTTCGATATTCGATAAAGCAAGAAGATAGAAAAAGAGGACAGAGTTTATTTTTTAAAAAGGCCTCTGATGCAGCCTGTTGCTGGGGCCTTTCTAAAAGATTCTTGAGTAATGAAGTAAACCCAGTGGAATTAGCTCAAGCACACGGTAGAGGAATTCAGATGGGTAGCCCTGTTGGTCTGAAGCAGCAGAACAAAGGTTGAGTCCAGTTGGCACCTTTGAGAATGTCATAAATCCTGATTAGGAAGCTGAGACGGGGCCAGGAATGGACTGCTGGTGACTAGTACATTTTTATCTAATGCTAGAAAGAGCATTTATTTACTTTTCCTCTTGAGCTGATTGGTGCGATACTTTTTGTCTATTTGGGGGAGTGGATGTCAATTTCTGGTTTCTGGTTGCCCAGATGCTGCCTGACAAAAGTGTAGGTACACATTCATGGTATCTAAATGCCGTAATATGTGGGTGGCAAAACAGTATACAATCTGGTGCAAGCATTTCAAAATGTCTTTGGTGGGGTGGGTGACCAGGTACTGTAGAAACTGCTTTCTTTCCTGGCTTGCTTGCCATAGTTCCAAGAGATCCTTTTTTCTCGTAATGTGAAAAAGTATGTTTCTGTTTTCCCGTGCAATGTTGGAAAGTATGCATGACGAAAGCTTAAGTAATGGTGTTGCTGTTGAAATGCCATTACCTGGGAAAGGGACCCTTGAAAACTCAGGCGGGGCAAAGAGAGAAGGAGAAAGGATGGATTAGGGTGGAAGCCCTGGTCTCTCAGCCTCTGATTATGCTGGTGGGAGTGGTCCATTATTCCTGGTATATTAATGCATCACTACTCCAGTTTGTCAAGGCATTTGGCCACAGCTCTCTGTTGGCTCGAATGAGTGAGAGATTTGGGATCTCAGCAGACTGACAGTCAACGTGAGTTTGTGAGAAAAAGAGCCTGGAGCAGCAAAGGGTGGACTTGGAAATCCAGGTATTATCATTTGTACAAGGGTCCTAAGGTATTTGCTGTTGGGGGGGTGGGCAGGACATTTCCGAAAATTTTATTTCTTAGACTTTCTTTAGTTTAAAGAAAGAAATAAAAAATGAAGTCTAAAACTTCTAGAAAGGGAGGAATGAAATGGTTAGAGTATCATGTTTTTCTAGTTTCAAAAATGATCTCCATGGGGCTTGTTTAATCCATTCCCCAGAATATTTCAGTTTGGTAGTTCCAGTTATCTCTTGGGCGAGTGACAATTGAAATACTTGACACTGTGGGAGGGGGGATCCATTCTTTATAGTAAAATCTATTTGGTATAGTGATTCATTCTACTGCAGAATCTGATTCTGGGTGTCCCTCATTATCCACCCTGTGGAATGACTGTCTCAGGAATTGACTTTTACCTAGCTAACAGGGAAGGTGGGGGAGCAGCACCACTCCCACCAAACACACTTGTGTCCTAGGACACAAAATGACCCACTGTTGCTGAATACCCCCACCCCCGTCCCTCTGATCTGGATGCCACATTGGCATTCACTGCACTCCCCGATTTTGATGGGCTTTCTCCCATCTTAGCTAGAGCTTTCTTTCATATGCTTGATATTCAAGTGTAAAAATATACCCATGGGTTGGAAGAGGATCTACATGAAACAGAAGGTTTAAAAGAGTATCCAGGAAAATTAAGTAGAGAGAGTTGGAGCAAATGAGAGCCTGGAAAGCTGGAGGAGTCGGTCATCAGCCTCTTTGCTCTGTTCCCAGTGATCTGAAGGGGGGGGGGGTCTACTAAGTTGTGCAAAGAAGGTTACCCTCCCAACTTGCTGTTTGGGTTCAAGGTAAGGATGGCTGCTAAGCATGGAGGTGGCAGAAGAGCTTTTTCGTACAGTTTAGTACCCAGCAGCTGTGCTGGTATGTTGGAGGCTGGAGAACCGCTGAGGATGGCTGTATGCCTCTTTATTACTGATAAAGGGATGATAAAGAAGAAATGTGGCTGAGAGTTTTATACTGCAGGCAGAGGGGAGGGGGCTTTTTCCACCTACTGCCTATGACACCTGCCTATGACATCTGAACATGATTCTCCTCACTGGAATCAGGATTCTGCCAGCATCAGTCATAGAGATGCATTTCTCCTTTCTTTTCCTGCCTGGGAAAAAAGATGCTTATGGACACAAATACAGTGAGGTGAGATATAAAAGGTATTTACCTTCTATGTGAAGAGGTTGTGAGTCAGTGAAAAGGGCTGACTTTCAGGGATGGTTGTGAGAGAAAGGATGGCGCCACAAGAGCAAAAATTTGGAACATTTGTGTATGATCGGAGAGTGTGAATTAACAAAACTAGCATTTTGAGAGCTGAAATATCTCAGAATGTGCCTGATAGCTGCTTACCCTGCCCCAGATTTGACATTGTTGTATTGTACAAAGGGCTTGGGGAAAGATGCATGCCTTTTCTCCTGGGACTTTCACTTTCCTATAAAACTGGGCCATTGGCTTATTTTCATGGCATAAAGGTGTTTAAATCCTAGGGAACCTTTCCACAGTGCATCTATATCAGGGAATATAGTATGATGCTAAAAACCAGCTTCAGACGTATGATGTTCCTGCATCCACAGTGCAGTGATGATCAGCATGGGCGAAGCATCTGTAGAAACAGCATGCACAGTTACCAGTTGGAATGTGCTAAGTATTGCACAAAGGCATACATCTTTTTCACACCATTACAAATTTGACTTCTCAAACTGAGACGCTGACCTCTGTGTGTGAATACTGTAAAAGATGTACATGCACATCAACAAAGGGTGTGCATTTCATGTAAGGGATGTTTGTGTGTACAGATGCCTTGCCTTCCTCTCTGGTCCCTTTCTGTCCACAGCCACACTCCCTGGCATTCTGAGCTGCACATTGCCTCACCCAGTGAAGCCATCCTTCTCCCCATGTCATCAACCACCCAGTCCAGCTCACTGCTCTCTCTGCTCTATCTGGCCCTGCTGACATTTGTGGGCAGTGCTGTGCTCCTGGCTGAGATGCACCAACATAGCCTGCTGAGCGACAATGTCCATGCTTTTCTGGCGGTGCTCATGATTTCTTCCTGCATCTGGATGCTTTGGTTTGGCTGTCGCTCTGCTGGCAACAGGCAGCTGAAAATGCATCAGGACTACCACGCTGGAGCAAGCTGGCTCAAAGGTACAGGTCACTACAGAAATCCTATCTTTTGGACCACAGAAACACAAACTTGGGAGGTAATCACTAACCAAAAGACTTTCTGACCTGAGGTTCCAAGTGAACCCACCACTACCGGTACTTAGTATAGGGGCTCTGAAACTCATTTCAAACTCATTACAGTGCAATCCTACACAGTAGATGTATTTGGGTCTGTCACTGTGTGTCAGATGCAACCAGATGGTCTTGGTATTCCTGTCCTAGACTGCACAGCTTCGCTAACATGCCTCAAACCTGACCTGCAATTTAACTCACATTCTACCCCTGAGAGCCTGTTCAGTTGTCATATGAAGCTTCTTGAGATTATTGGTCTACTCAGGATTTTCTAATCCCATTGGCTCTCCAGAGTCTTAGGGCTTTGTAGAAAGATCTTTCCCAGCATCTGCTACCTGAGATCCTTTATGCAGAGATGCCAGGGATTGAACCTAGGACACATGCCATGAAAAGCATGTGCTCGTCCACTGAGCACAGCCCCATTTCAGCCCATTCTCTCACGAATAATTTATCACATGAAATGTCTGTTCCTATGAGCGCTGTAATGGAAAAGGAGATCTCCAGTTCTTTTCTATTATTAGAAATAAAGTGTCTTGTAAATATCCTATTGAAGGAAGGGGAGATTCTAAGTTGGACACCTGTGTTGATACTTTTCAGTCCTCATCTGTTATTTTATCTTTGCTCTTTCTGTCACTATGCCAATAATTACTTTCTGTCTTGTTTTTTTTCTCATTCGAGTCCTATGCTGTTCCTGCCCATTCACAAACTGAAAAAGTCATCGTGGAAGTATCAAGTAGTTGTGGCTTGTGCAATGTCTGGGATAACTGTGGTGTCTTATCATGGCAGGTGGTCTGTCTCTCTTCGCACTGGCCACACTGGTGCTGGACTGCCTTTCCTTGGGATATTACTACGAGCTGCAGCACTGCGCCTCCATGCTGATTACCACGTACCCTATTGTGCAAGCTGTTTTCACCATCATCCAGGTGACGTGAGATCCGTTCTGACTCCAGATACTTGCTCAGGATACACACCTGAGATGGCTGGACCCTGAACAAGAGAGCATTCTTCATGGGGCCTCTGGTTTCCTGCTTCCCCAGTCCCTTACACTTACACTCCAGTCTAGTAAGGTTCCCATTCCATCTGCTGCATCCACTTTTTTCTCTTGCATAATGGCTGCCAACATGGCTACGTACCATGAGACAGAATTTCAGAGGGCCTGAGAAATATATTATTCCATTAATAGTGACATGATGTCTTTCCCCCCTACTCATTCTCTTTCCTTCATACAGGTCTCATTGCTGCTGTTTAACGCTAAGGTTTGCGTCCAGGAATACCAACATCTAAATAGGTAGGACTGTCTTCTGAACTGTGCAAAAAGAAGGCAGGTCTGTCACCTAGTGGCATTGTGGCAGAACTTTAGTACAATCGCCCCTAGCCAATGCAATGGACAGAGAGTTTCCTTATTACATCAAGCTTCTCCATACAAGCTTTCCAGAGTATGAGTGAGCATGGAGAGGAGACCACAGACAGATGGAGTCGCTGGCATTCTACACTGCAGATGCTTCCTCTTGTATAAGGCTGACGAGCCACAGTCAAGAGGACAAGATGGTAACAGAACGTTATCAGTTGAAACAGTTGTATAAATGAGTATGTAAAGTTCAGGAGGAACCATGGGAAGGATCAAAAGTTGCAGATGGTGCAATTGTGCAGGGAAAATAGGAGCAGGGGATGCAGACAGTTTATTATACTCCTGCTATTATATGAGGGGGCAATGATGGCAGAGGTCTGAAAATGCTAGGAACTTCTGAGAATAATAGCACTACTGAGAATGGGGCTTATGGAGACTTTAACTAACTTTGAACCAGGTTGATAGGGACGGGGTGAACTGCAATATGACTCTTCCCAAAATAACTCCTGCTTTTTCTGTGTGGCTTTTAGATTTGGACTGATGCACACATTGGCCACCAATGTCCTCCTGTGGATGAGTGTGGTGCTGGATGAGTCCATGAAGCAGCTAGAAGAGTTTTATGACACTCATTCAAGAGAGACTCTCCAAGCTTCACATGGTACAATCCTCTCCTCTCTCTTGTCTGGAAAGGATATATTAAGCATAGAGGCTTTGAAGAGGAAGGCTAGATCTGTGCCAAACCACGAGCTTGACTAAGAAGTGTTCTGAAGGCAAGGGCCCTTCCTGATGCCCTTCTCCATACCACCGTCAGCCTTGGTTTGTCACCCTCTGCTCTGAGCCCTTCACACTGGGGAAAGGGGGTCATTGTTGAGTTGACCCAGACTTATTTCCTTGTGATCAGCTTATAGGTGATAAGCTTGGTCTGCACATCATAAAGAAATCCACTCTACTTGATGCTGTAGATACTCATTGTCCCTTGTATCTGCCCTTGTATCTGTCCCTTGTTCTTTGGATCCTCTCCCTGGTCAACTTCCCCCCTCCCCAGTGCATTCCTCCATTAGGCTTCCTTCTGCACTTAACCTTTCCATTTTCCACTTTAGCTACCCCTCCCTCCATGGTCACCATGCCCTGCCCCTATCTTCTTCCTTGTATGTTTTGTCTCATACCATACCTCTGACTGAAGGCTTCTATCCTTCAAAAATGGCGGTATGAAGCCCGCCATACCGCCATCTTTGCAGTTGTCATGAAACTACCCAACCCAGCCATTTTCAAGGGCATGGAGCTCTATAAAAAGGGACCATACTTTGTTGGTGAAATTGCATGCACCCTTTCCATGTGGTGGGATTGGATGGGCGTCTCCTTGGTTAGAAGTCTGGGAGCCATGCAACGTGTCCAGCCCTGCTAATGTTTAGCACTATTTTAATGCTGTTCCTGCAGGTGACTCCTACACTAACAGCTGTGCCTGCACCACCAATCTGTGTCACATCTTTTCAGAAGGCGCTGCATACCTGCACCCATTCAATATTGAGTTCAGTCTCTTTTCTTCTACAATGCTGTACATCATCTGGAAGAACACTGGTCGAGAAGCCCATCACAAGAAACCCTCACACACTCAGAGGGTACGCTTCCATCTCAGTGGAGCTTTCATTGGCCTGGTACTAGGAGCCTTGGCCATTTCAGCAACTTTTGGGGTGATGATCTCCTTTGGAGTGCTTACTAAGTCTCCCAAAACTATCCCTGAAGCTCTTCGAACATACTACATCTTCAACTCTGTGTTGTTATCTGCTATGTTTTTGGCAACCTTGATTGGCATAATCACCTACAGGGTGAAGAAAAAGGCTACAACACCCGCCTCTGACAAGAGTGTGGTAAGAAACTTAGATGTAACTTTGCTTCTGGGCAGCTCCTGTGGTCCCCTCATGGTATCCATTTTCTCTTTGGTTGCCATCTTCTTCCTTCATTCTGATGGCAGCCTCCATCTCCTGGACTTTTGCTTCTCTCTCTGCAAGACCATCCAGATCCTGGGGCAGAATCTCTTCATTACTGAAGCTTTGTATTCTAGTCTCTCTCATGAGCCAGATGCCCAAGACAGTAGTGAGACTGATGGTACCAGCTGGGTTTTTTCCATTTCTAGAGGCCACATGGAGCAATATAGCAATGAGCCTTTCTCCAAAACCAACAAACTGACCAGCATCATGGCCGATTTGGAACATCAGCCACCACAGTGCTTGACAGACTATGGTACCGACCCAGCCTTCTTCCAGATCTCACAAACGCAATGTGAGTCTAAGAGGCCAAGCATCAGGAGGAAGGTTCTACAGAACATCTCTGTTCTCCTTATCTTCTACAATATCTCGGTGAGCTGAGTCGGGCTTGTCAGGTTGGCTAATGGGTCTCAAATGTAAGTTTTATGGGCTCAGTACAAATTTGTAACATGGGTCTCCCCCCGATCCCAGTCTCATCATGAGCCATGACAGAAACAGCACTCTGAAATATTGTCAATAGACTATACATGCAGCCAGCTTAGAGTTAGTCCTGATGCTACTGGAACCATGGGGAACTGTTCCTGCCAGGGCCGTAGCCAGGATTTTTCAGTTTGGGAGGCAATTTTTTTTTTTCTTGTGGGGCACACACACACGTACTCTTCAGCCAGAATAAACAATGCATCCTCTGTACCCAAACAGTTTGTCAGCACACAGACCTCTGAACCAAATGCAAAACAAACACAAGGAATCTGTTCTCTCCCTCTCGCTGTTGGGGGGCCTGGGCTGGATGGAAGTAGTAAGTCGGGGGGGGGGGCAGGCCCTACTGTAACTATGAGCCCGGCTCCTGCTTTCTCAGCAGGCTTGGCTGTTGTGTGCTGCCAAAGTCTGGGAAAAGTGGATTCCACTTCTGTAGATTTAGGGAAGGAGAGTCTTGCCAGGCTCTGGAAATGGTTCTTCAAATCACCGACCTGCACTTTCCCTCCATTAGGCCTCACTAGAGCTTGACTGGTGTTTGGTGTGGCTGTTGTGTCCAAGTAACACAAAAGTTCAATGCAGTTTTCACTTCTGGTTCCAGTTAAAATGTTCCTTATGTGGATCAAAAGTGGAGGGAGTCATAGGAACCCACATAAAGGAAGTATAAACTGGCGGGGTTGGGGGGGATGTTTTGCAGGGGCCAGTGTTTTGAAACAAACATGCCCTCAGTCCCCAAATCTCCCTTTTCTTTATGTTTAGGCCTGTTCCTTCATCGGTGCTTGGAATTTTTGTTTTTTTTAAAAAGGTGGTCAGTGCTAGGGTAAAAGACAAGAAGTAGAGAAGTTAAAAGCAGACATTCTATGTGTAATTATGTTTCATTTATAAATATGTTTTATTAAGAACAAACATTCTAAACATTCTTAAGCCAAGAATTTAAAACAACACTTCAGGTCTTCCTGCGTTGACATGATTTGCCAGGAGGCTGGAAAAAGAGATTTTTAATAAGACAGTTGAAACTAAAAGAAGGAACAAAAATAGAAGCATGTCCTTGACTAGGAAATGAAACAGGAAGATTTTAAAGACTGCATTCCTATGTATGCTTACTTAGGAAAAAGTCCAATTGAGACTTACTTCCAAATAACTATGAAAAGGGTTGGGCTGCACAGTCTCTTTATCTTACTTTAATGGTAGATTCAGATGACTAGCCGTATTGGTCTGAAGGAACAGAACAAAGTTTGAGTCCAGTGGCACCTTTAAGACCAACAGAGTTTAATTTGGGGTATAAGCTTTCATTAATTGAACTTTGTTGGTCTTGAAGGTGCCATGCCACTGGACTCTGTTTTGTTACTTTAATTGTGAACTTAATACATTCTGTTGTAAGCTAAGTGTCAATTTTGGTGGGAAATTGCAGGATGGAAATATTATAAATAAATGTTTAAATAACCATTCATGTCAAAACTTCATGTCTTAGATGAGGATGGAAAGGCCTAGCAAGGAATTGTTAGAATATGTTCGGCATTACAGCTAAGTGTTGGGCTTGACTGGGGGAACCTTAAAATGATGTGTAATAGGCAGGGGTCATTTCGTAGTAAAAGAGCTGCAGGAGCTCATTAGCATATGGTATGCTAATGAGCCACTAGGCTATTAACATAATAGCTCATTAGCATATGAAACGCCCCCTGACATCACCGGAAGAGATGTCAGAAGGGGAAGCAAAAGGGCATCTTCAAAAGCCTCCCCTTCCCTTCCCTGGGGGGGGGGAAGCGAAGAGAGAAGTTTAAAGTTTAAACCTTTCTCACTAGAGTTGGGTCGCAGAAGGAGGAAAGAGGGAAGGAAAGAGACAGAGAGAGTAGAGAGAAGGAACGAAGGAAGGAAAGAGT